CACTTGTCCTAAGTTCTCAAGTTCTCAAGTCAGTGCATGTTGTGGATCAGCCCTTGGGTTGAGGTTTCTGTTTCCAACCTAATGGCAGGTTTAGCCGGATCTGACTATGAAGAGTTACTTGAGATGGGGTTAGTTCAGTCATACAGAAACTAACATACCCCATTGCTGAAGTAACTTATACTAAATAGGATATTTACAGAAGCAGCAGCATCCAGCTCATTGTTGAGGTGCTCAGAAGAGGAGGGAGCTGCAACCAGGAGTGTGGTGTATGGCCTCCTCCTGCAGAAACTGCTTGAACTGGAAGCAGGGGAAAGCTTCTGGAGTTGGATTACTTAGGACTGAAATGAAGCAGACAGAAGATGGATCTGGGTTCATGTATATGACCCTGAGCATTTCAAAACACAGCTTTTGGTAAATATTCCTTACCCATACTCAGGACTGATCAGTAGGAGGGGTTGTTGTTCAGTCCAGGCCAAAAAAAGCGAGGAAGCACATGACTCAGGTACAAGGACTGCATCTGAAGCAGCCTGGCCTGAGATTAAAGCACATTAAGCATAAGGCCTCTTGCTCACTCTCCTGGCAAATCACTTTTTGCATCAATGGCCTTGAGCTGCTTGATCTTATGAACAGATCATTTTGAGTAAAGACAAGCTCTGGACTTTTAGGGCTGAACAGCTTTTTTCTCCTGCCTCATCATCAGTCACAGGGACTGGAAGTCCACCTTCTCATTTCCTGCCCTTCACAGATCAAGGAGATGCCTACCTCTCTGGAGCCACAGCTTCTAGCTTTCTGTGGGTGAGTGGTGAAAGACCATATGCCAGATCAAGCTAGCGGATCCCAGGGCCTGACAAAGCAGGCCCAAGTTCTTCCACAACAAGATCAGGCCCATTTGGGGTCACCTCTGCCTATTCCAGGACACCAAGCTTCCCTGGTAGGGGTATGCTGCAGAGGGTCCAGAGGACACTGCTCCCACCCCCACGAAGGATAGAGTCCCAAGTCCAAGAGAGTCCTAGGAAGCAGAAAAACAACAAGCTTCTCCATAGGCATCTAACTTTTTACCACAGGAGAGGTTCAGTAGCTCCCCCAGTTCAGAGTGCAGAAGACACACCCCAACCCTCTGTCCGGGATCTCCCTTTGCAGTGTCTTAAGCCATGGAGACCTTTAGCAGCATGTAAGGAGATGTTCAAACTTTCATAAACCTAGTGGACTCAACTCTCCTCCTTTTTATACCCTTCCACCACTATGAGTGTCTGAAATTCTGCCAAGCACAGAAATTAGTGTCTGACTTTAATAAGGGTAGGAGAAACTGTTTGTCTTTTCTTCTTAAGATCAGTGCTTTTCCCAGGTACCACCCACCCCATCCCTCAACCAAGAAAGGCCGGGGTTATAAATACACTCCTCTGAAGACCATCTGCCCTAAGCCTGTGTTTCACCCAGCAGTCCTCTTCCCCACTTTCAAATTTAAAGACGGGTAACTCAGTGAAGCCTCAGCAACAGAGCGTCGGCTGAGGCAGTAGCTATGGCCTCATTACCTCTCCAGGTATGCTCCATAGCTTCCTCTCCTAAGACCAGCCTTCCCCAACAGATGCAGGCTCTGCACTTTTGAGCAATGACCCCTTTGGATCCCAGGGATGGAGCTGTTTGCTTACTCCTAGGTACTGACTCCCTTTCAAGTGCTCTTCCTTTGAGGTCAGCCAAAGCCATGAGCACATCACCTCTTCTTGCCCTCAGCTCAAATGGGGCTGCAGGGTTGACACTGGCCTTTCTAGCCCTGGTGCTCCCTGAGGGGTGTCACCCTGGCCTTGTTTCAGTGGCCAAATCTGGGGATTCCCCCGTTCCTACCACCAATATGGGAAGCACAGGATCAAACTGCCTGGGAAGAGGGCACCTCACTATGCGGTAAGCCCAGGATGATGCCTAGGCCTCTCAGCCCGAAGCATAACCTCAACAATTGCAGATCTCAGCTTCAATAAGAGTAGTGCCAGGAAGGCCTAAAGCCAAGAGGAAAGCTCAGCAGAAGCTGTCTGGCAGGGGCCCAGGCTAGCCATGACCACCCCAGAGCCGAGAGTAACCTCCAGGTAGGACTGTAAACAGGTTCTACTGACCTGCAAGCATGTCCCGTTCCAACCAGCAGAGTAAAGGGATGTATACTTGTCACTCAAAGGCAGAACAACCTTGATGCCAGAATTTCAGGACATCTTGGCAGCACCTATAACCATAACACCTTTATACCCCTCTATTACAGTGGAATAAAATTACTACTCCATGCCGTGGAGTTTGAATTGGCCCAAGATCTCTCTGGGTCCCCGCTTGTAGCCCAGACAACAGAAATCTTGCTGAGTGGGGGATATCAATGCACTGTGCCTGTTCCTGACAGCCCTGGAGTGGGGTAGGACTGGGCACTTTCCCTGTTGTTGCTTTCCGTCTACCACTGCTTTTGGCAACCTTGAGAGGAGAAAAAACAGGTTAGAAAATTTCCATTAGACTCAACTAGCACTAAGGAGAATCTCTCTGGGCCACATACCCTGATAGCCAGATCATAGAGAGAGTGTCAGGTCTGGTCTGGGCCAGTGACTGAGAACCCAAATTGCAATGTGTCTACGATGGGTTGGTGTGACCACACCTGTGAACAAAGTATAAGTAGCAAGTCCTTTCCATATCTGTGGTGAAACACAGGACTTCATGCTTAGCCTCCTGCAAGAGATGGCCTATGCTCTGTCTCCCAGCCACACTCAGGCTTGTGAGGGGGTTCTGAGAGCACTCAATGACAATGGAGGATCCAATGCCCTGTGGTCCCTCGTGCCTTTCCTACATGCTTTCCCGAGGAAGGTAACTTGGCAGTAAGCTGAGGGGGACACGTCCAAGCCCTGTCTTCCCATCATTCCAGCTGCATGCTTTTCCCCATGGCTCAGCCTTCACTCCAGAAGGAGCTGATGATCTCCAAGGCTGGGCACAGTGGAAATCCTAATAAAGAGATTGTGATGCTGTTTCGGCTTCCTGTTTCCTGTTGTTTGGGGCATCTGGTGAGTTTCTGTGTGATTTCCTATGGTTAGCCAATTCCTGAGTCTGAGTCTAAGAAAGTCAAAGCAGAGAAGCTGTGGCCTCCAAGATCACAGTACACTGTGTCTCTCCCTCTAGAGCTTTCCTGGTACTGACCTTCCAAAGAAACAAGTGCTTGGTGGGAGTAGGAGGATGCGGGGGTTACATGGAGGTACTGAAGAGAGGTGCCAGAGTTTTTGGAGAAATGGAGGAAGAGGTGAGGCCTCTAAGCCTGCCTACTATGTATTGCCCATTTTAAACACTTCTTTTCCCAGTTCCAGCTGAGCTACAAAGTAGGGAAGCTAGTTGGCTTGTTTTCTCCTTGTCTTCTGGGCCCTCCTTGGTCTGAGTTTCCTACCCATTTTTGTTAGTTGTTTTAATGTGATATAATAGGATTGGGTAAACTACAGCCTGGAGAAGCTTTTGGAGGACTATGGAACCCCCACTCACCCCTTTTACCTGGAAAAAACAAAACCAGAACCTGTAGCAGGAAAGCATCTCTAGACTGTGGCTCAGAGGCAGAAACTTGACCTCTAACCCAAAGGGGTCCCAAATACAAATATTTGTGAACATTTTTTTTATTATTATGCACTGGGAAGTTCTAAGTGCTTTGCATAAAGTAATCAGTTCATCTTCAAAGCAGCCCTATGAGATTTGTATTACAGACAAGAAAAGTGAAGAAGAGAGGATGAAAGTTTCTCAAGGTCATACAGTCACACAGCCAGGAAGCAGGGGAACCTGGTAGTCTGGCTGCAGTACCCATGTTCTTAACCCACCCACAGTTCTAGGCATAGCTGGAGCCACAGCCAATGGCCTCTGTCTAAAGTACACTGACGACTGCCTCTCAAAGTACACCTCAAGGAATCGGCTGCTCTGTGGTCTAGCACCTCCCCTTTCTACTCAGTGGGAATAGACAGACACAAATAGCCAGGCCTATAGCCATGTCACAGGACTTCTTGCCACCTGCACAACTCACCCCTTTCACTCCCAGGGCTTCCATACCTCTCCTCCCTGGAGTTTTCCCATGGAGGTCTATCAGGCTCAGAGGCATCTTAATAACATCCTACAGGTTCCCTTCTCCTTGTCTCCAGGCTCACTGAAGCCAAGCATCCGGACAGAAAAGGGGGCATAACAGCTTAGTCCTCTGTGGGCCCTAATGACCCACAGACATCCCCACCCTCAGTCCAGCAGTCATGACTGGCCCTCCCAGAACTCTTCCTTCTATCAACTGCCACTTGTTCCTGGGGCTGGCTAGAGCACAGGTGGCAAACACAAGGCCTGCAGGCCGAATCCAGCCCAGCACCCTGTTTCTACCTGGCAGCAGCACCAAGCTCCTTGCCCCTAGTTAAGGAGTAGTTACATTTATACAGTCCTAAAATTACATTCGGCTTTGAAGGCAACCACAAGGCTAATGCGGCCCCTGGTGAACTTTGACACTAGAGCCTTGGTTCCACACGGACTTCCACCCACCCTCTCCTGCTTTGGCTCAAGTGCACTCCTCTTTATCGCTAGGGAAACTCATCGCCCCGAGGGAAACAGTGGCTGCTACATTTGTTAAACATGGAGTAATGTGTTTTCTGTCCCACCCACCCAAAGGGTTATTTGAAGTCTGACTTGGCTAAACCTTAGTTTCCTCATCTGTAAAAATCTAGAAAATAGTCCCTTTTCTGTCTGCCTCCTGGGCTGATGGTTGAGTGAGGACAGAATGAGTTTGATAAGGGGAAGAGCTTTATACCCTGTGAGATACTGAGTGAGCAGCATGGCTTTCTGGCCCCATCTGAAGGTTATGTGTGTATCATCTTCCACCCAACCAGTCCCAGGCATAGCTGTGGAACTGCCTGTGGCCTCTGTCCACAGTGCTGAAGTCACAGCCAAGCCAGCTGGGAATCTTCAGTCCTTTATTTTTTGTTTTGTAGTTATACTTATTCATATATACATCCATTTTACATTTTAATATTTATCAAAAAATCTAAAACTTCACAAGTTTTCATGTCATCCTTACACAGGGGCCATGCTAATCTTCTCTGTATCATTTCAATTTTAATATATAAAGGAGGATCCAAAAAAAAAACTGGAATTATCTTCTGGAGGGCAGGTCCCCTGTAGTACAGCCTTCCCCCACTAGGTAAGTGTTCTAGGAACCTGTCTGCATCAGTACCAGCTGGCATTATTGTGAGGAGCTGCATTTGGCTTCAGTGAATTTTTTTTGAAGACTCTTTCAACACATTTGCCCATTTCATGATGGGTGATTTACAAGTGCACCTGCCCACACCACACTAAGTGTTCAGCAGTTTTTGACCAAAAAATGGCATGATCCCCATGCCCCACCCTCTCTATTCACCCAATCTTGCCCTGTTGCTAGTGACTTTTGCCAATTGGAAGAGGTGAAACAAAAAACATCAGAAGCACTAAAAGTCATTAAAGTAAACACACTCAAGAACTGTTGTGAACAGTGGGAAAAAGTCTCAATAAGTGTGTTGCATCAAATGGAGAGTATTTTAAAGGTGATTGAAGTTTAAACATGTAAAAATAAATACAGAATTTTAAATAAATTATGGGTTTGGGGGGTCCTCCCTTGTATGTGCTGCCAAAGCGAGCTCGTCAGTCTCTCCTTGTCTCACCTTTAAATAAGCATCAAGTACAGAGGTTTTCAGGGATTGCCCTGAAACTACGTATTACCAATTTTTAAAATTAATTTATTTCAAGTATTTTTGTTTCTAAAGTAAATATAACACTCCTTTCAAAATCATAACAGGTACAAATGGATAAGATGTGATTTAGAAGCTTAGAAAGAAAAGAAATTGTGGTCTGCAGTTGGTATGGGTAAACAGTTGGAGGTGGCTACCAAAAAACTGATGTAACATGAGGCTACATGCAACCAAGTTCAGAGTCAGAGGAAGGAGCAGGCTGGCTCATTTGTAATTGCACTGGCACCCCAGGAAAAAACTAAGCCAGGTGCTCTGTCCAGGTGGTGCAGCAGAGCACAGGGCTCTGCCCTGTGATGTACAGTCCCTTTCCACAATGTTGGAGAGAAAGCCAGGTCTTGAATCTGTGCCCACATATTCCTACAGCTTCTCAGAGTCCTTTAGACAATGACTGAGGAGATGAACCATGCAGGAAACATCTCTAGAAAAAAATAGAAAAAATAGAGAAAAGAAAAAAACATAGAGAAAAACAACTAAGCCAGGTAATCCAAAAGCTAAATCAGGCTCTGTGAACTCAAAACAGGCAGGGAAACATGGTCTTAGTGCCTGGAACAGAATGAGGCAAAAGAAGAGCCCATGAAGGCCTGAGGGGTGTTCACCCTAGGGAGGAGCAAACAGACTTGAGGGATGCAGAGGCTGATACCTGGCAGATGGGACCTATAAGGTCAACGTGACCTCAAGCACAGAGCCAAGGCCAAAGGTGGAGTAGAGGCAGATCTCTGCTCAATAGGACCGAAAGATAACTGGATACCAGGGAAGGTGGTGAAGATGTATAAGCATACAACAGAAGTGTTGAGTTGGGCCCTGGTTGGTGTGGCTCAGTGGACGGAGTACTGGCCTGCAAAATGAAAGGTCGCTGGTCTGATTCCCACTCAGGGCACATGCCTGGGTTGCGGGCCAGGTCCCCTCTTGGGGGTATGCAAGAGGCAACCGATTGACTTATCTCTCACACATCAATGTTTCTCTCCCTCTTTCTCTCTCCCTTCCCCTCTAAAAATAAGTAAATAAATAAAAATCTTTTTTTTTAAAAAAGAAGCATTGAGTTTGGGCAGGGGGATGCCTTGAGACCTATGATGCCAGTAAATGGTTAAGGACCTTCTGAGGAGTGCCCAGCCCTGAGCCCTGCTTATTGTAGGGCAATCCATGATTGTGTGAACCCACATGACCCCCAAAGCATCCGCATCACTGGATTAGGAACTTTAATTTATTTACACTTGACCTTAGCCAAAAAGCCGAGAAGCGATGGAACTTTAATTTATTTAGTTCAACCTTTTAGACCATCTGTTATGCCTGCAGCTCTGGGTCTTGACCTGAAAGAAAAGATCCAAGGTCTCAATACCCCTGATTTCTCCTTCCCAGGTTGGCTCTGGGAAACTTGCCTCTAGAACATGATGTTGCACGCCCTCTGCTGGTCATTCTTAGCACTGCCCTCTCATCCCAAGGCAAGAAATGACTTCTTTCACCCTTATGGTACTAGTCAGTGTAGGTTCACAACATGCAGAGAGATTCCAGGCAAGTACCAGGGAGGTTAGATCACTATTCAGTGTTCAGTCAGAATACAGTATCAGAATGGAATCTTCAGATGAATTCAAATGTCTGTAATGAAGATGAGGGCTGATCCATGTCTAGGAGGAGGGCTTAGGCTGAGGCTGGGTTTGGGGAACTATCTGGTTCAGGACTAAGACTAATAAGGTCAGTGTCTCAGGCTGAGGCCCAAGTTGGGACTCAGAGTGGGACTGAAGTCTGTGCTCAAGTGTCGGCATGAAGTATGTACCCAGATGAGATGTTAAGAGACTGACCTCATGAAGTCAGTCTGCATCCAGGGTAATGGGGTCAATGTAGCATTCCTATACAGGTAGAAGCATTAGGTAATAAGCACCAGCCACTGCAGAAGTCAAGCAGAGATGTTTCCAGGGGAGAAATATAAGGTATGGGGAACAAAATGAGGTAGTCACTAATTTCTAAGGGCCTCCTAACCTTAAAGATAGTAATGCTCAGGCTAGAGCCCCTTTCTCCTCAGAAGATAGATCTCAGTATTCCAGTTACAGCTTCCTGTAAAAGCCTGCCCCTACCAACTCTAGTACCATCACAAATGATACATACAACTTGGGGACAGGAGAGGTCAAAGGGCTAGTCCTGACACTGCAGAGAGCTGGCAGCTGTGGGAGTAGTCTTCCTTTCCCTCAGGATTCTCTGTTTCTACCGGCAACAGTGCCCGGCAGCCTCCCACATCCAGATCTTAGCAACCGCGGGAGCGCCTGGCAACTGCTGCCATGGTGACAAGACAGGGACCCGAGAATGAGCTGAAGGGGGAACACTTCCTCTGGAGCCTTCAGAATATGTACAGAATTGCAGATTCCCCCTCCCATAGGCAGTCTGGGAGGGAACATGTGCTCCTGTCTAAACACCTCCTCACTGGTACCCACCCCCACCCATGCCCCCAGGTTCCGGTTCCTTCAGGGTGAGGAAATGAGGGACATTTTGGATTATGATGTCTCCATGGGGAGGGAGAGTGAGTGAGGTGTTGGCAACTGACGTGATCACACATGCATGCAGACACCGCAGACACGATGTCAGTGTGACAACAGCCATGAAGCCACACTTCATCCACTCCATCATGTAGACACAGGCCTACACAGTCATTTAATCACATGTGTACACTAGCACAAAATCACACACCTACAGCAAATAGCACAGAATCAGGCACACCACCACACAAAAATAATTACACAGATAGACTCTTACAAACTGCATTACAGACATAACAGCACAAATAACTCCCAATCAGAATCAAACATTTACAGATGCACTCACACACCAAGATTATCTGTGAACATTCAGAGTAACAGTTAACTTTGTAAGCATCAACTATATGCCAAGCTCAGAACTAGGTGCATTACGAGTTACCTTAATTAACCCTCACAATAACCCTAAGATGTACCACTACTGTATATCCCCATTTTACGAAGAAGGAAATGAGGCACAGATGCAGCCTCACAAGGTCGACAGTCTGCCCCCAGAGCCTGCATTCTTCTACCCTATGCGTCACCCTCATTCATCACACACACACCTGACACCCAGGGCAATGGGACAGAGGGCAGCAATAGGGAGCCCAACAGACAATGGAGTCTGTGCCACCAATACTTGAAGGCACAGCCCTGTACCCTCCAAGGTCTAAGCCTACACTTTAGCATTTGCCGGGACCAGGTTGGGGGCCGGTGACTAAACTTTCTGCCTCCATGCTGGCACAGGCAAGACTGGAGGAGGCAAAATACACAACTGAAATAGGCGGAAGCAGAGCCACCCACAAACCAGGCCCCCATGAATCTGGAGACAGAGTGAGAACCCCCAGATCTAAGGAGGCAGCACCAGTCCTAGGCCCCTTATCCCACCTTGCCCGTCTCTGTGTCACACTATTCCTTTCCCTCGTGATCCCACCTCCCCTCCCTTCCTTATTCTTCCTCACCCCATATCTCTTTCCCATCCTTTTGCTGTTCACCCCATCTCCCATCCCTTCTATTCCTTGTTCCCGACTCCCCCTTCTCCTTACCTCTTACCCAATCTCTTCTCCCCAACTCTCCTCCTCCTCCTCATCCCATCTTCCCTCCCTCCTCTCCTCATCCAGCAAACTACTTCCTTTCTTCACACTTCACACCCCTTTACACCTGGGATCCCCATAGTGAGTACTAGAAAGAAGACAGGTAGTGGAGACTATGCAGACCTGACCTCAGGACCCCCAGACGTCCCTCACACTCTGCTCTGCTTTGTTGGCTAGATACTGATTTTCTCCCACCCTCAGTTTCCAGCTCTATCTAGTTCGCATGACCTCATGGGTGTCCGCCTCTGCTCTGGCCCTTTCTTTCTTCTCAAACCCTCCAAGAATTCCTTCCCCCTCTTCACCGGAGGGTTACTCTCTCCCCACCCCCGTTCCCTCTAGCACAGATGGGCCTGGGAGACAGTGACGTGGGCGCCAGGCACCAGGCACCGTGTCTGCTCAAGCGTCGGCTTCCGCTGGTGACCGCCTCCGCAGCCCTGCCTGCTCTGAACAGCGGGGACACTGGGTTGAGATTTAATGGGGAGTGGGGGTGGGGGTGAGACTGAGATGGGAGATTCTGAGGGTGTTAAGAAGGATCATGTGGAGCTGAGATGAAGGGTTAAAGAGGGAAGCTAGAATAGGAGAGAGCTTGGGAGCAGAAAAGATTAAAAATAGGATAAGCCAGAAGATCTTGGGGGAAAGGTGGGAGATTAGATGGGGCAAAGAAGAGGAAAGAGCAAGGGTGGGGGTGGGGCAGGGGGCGCTAAAATATAGGAACTCAAAGGGGAAGTAGGATGGAAGATTATAGAGAGAACTTTAAGGGG